GGCTACGCATTGATTGAGTATCCGACGCTTGAGGAGGCGCGCGCCGCCATCGACGGTGCCCACGAGACGAAGCTCCTCGACCAGACCATTCAGGTGGACTTTGCCTTTGTGCGACCACCCCCAGGCAAGACCGGCGGCGGCGGCGGCCGTGGTGGAGGTGGTGGTGGTGGCGGCGGCGGACGCAACGGTCCTGGCAACCGCAATAGGGGTGGTCGGAGTAGGAGCCGCAGCCCCGTAGGCAGGGACGAGTGATGACGGGATAAAACAACTCGATGCGTCTTTGTCTTGCGCGAAAAATGGGATGGGAGGAAGGAAATGCCCTTTGAAGCCTGGGCATATGGCTGCTAAATTCCCGCTAACTACAACACCAAGGAGTATCCAGCCAGCTGGAGTTTTCCAATGACGGGTGGAATCATACTGGAATAGCAAGGCTTGCTGCAGCGCTATGTTGGTCCTCAACCGAACGGACAATAGCCAAAATGGACGGGAATCGATGAGAACAGAGGATACAAGAACATTGGAGAGAGAGTCGGGTTCAGGTAGAGACAACCTGTAAACCAAGAACTACGCTCAAGTAGCCGATGTGTCGTCAAAAGAGAGCAAAATCAAGGACACGTCGGCGCGTTGCCACGATCTTAACAGGTATGTTTGTAATTTCACCCCTTCTCACATGTAATTGTCACTAATTTAACTTTTTTTCAGGACATCAAATTGGCCTCGTAAAACATTGCTATACGAAAGTATTTACTGTGATGATATCTAGCATTAAGAGAGTCGGGGCTTGCTTAGATGCATGCATCAACTCTTCATTGGGTTTCCACACAATGATGAGTCTGCAACACCAGGCAGCGGCACTCGCGTGAAAGACCGTCTGAGCCGCATAAAGGCCCTCGGTAAGAAACTGTATAGGTTGATGGATTCCTACGTGTGGTCCATGTTTGTCTAAACTCGTCGGTTGTGTCGACACTCCTGGTGATCAACAGACAAACAATGAGCAAAAACTTGTTGACTTTGAGCCTCGCACCAGGGGTCATTGAACAGATATACAAAGGATTGCGTGGACGGCACAGGGGCTTGCGTGACTTACACCGGCCACACCTATCGCCTTGTCCATTGGCACAAGAGTCGCGTGTTGTCCTTCCCATTAAGATCATATCATGGTCATCATTCCTTATCGCTAAGGTGATGAACCCACAATGCCGGGACTTGGTAAGGCTGTGACGAAAGCGCCGAGCAGGAACTCCTGTTGGGCGCGGCAAGACAGGAGACGTCATTCTTCTATGGATAATCAATTTCTTTGCATCTTAAGGAAACAGTCTGCTGATTTTCTTTGAGCGTCTGCTCGTTCCCAGTGGAATATGTACCTGTTGAATAACTTTCGCCTGAGGTCATATTATAGCACCCGGCCCGTATAACCAGATGTGTTTTAATCAACGCTCTAGTTTCCTGAATGGATCACCACAAAGCAGTAACATCAACATCCGCATCACCGGCAGGGATACCCACGCGGACACTATTAGGGCCATCACCGCCCCAGACTCGGGATCCAAGAACACAATCACGATCAGAGCCCAAGTTTAATGCCTCTCGGACCAGATCAACCAGTACCAAGTCTAGCCTCTCACTCCTAGGGTCAGCCATTCGACAGGGCTATCTGGGCTCTCTTGTGCCTCCAACAAATACAGAATTCGATCATATGACTACGATCCAGGCTAAGCGTGGGGCCGAAACGAAAAGGAAGCAGCTCGAGCTCCACCGGAGATGTCTCGAAAAACAGGCCCAACTCCGCTCGAATTTCCTGCAGCCGCCACAGGATCATAACAACCCGTCTGCGCCCTATATCATCTCGCCGCTCCGGAGCATTTTCCATCGCCGACCGCTTTAAGCTCCATGACCGCGGCGCCGGCAGCCTTGAGCTCGACAAGTCGAGAGGAGCTCCGTGCTGTTGCTATCACTTTGTGTCCACTGGCCGAGAGCATCGATGGAGCGGCCGAAACCGGAGGTGCAGCCGGTCATGGGAAAGATCAGTGCTGAGGGGGTGGTGGCCATTGGATTGGATGTCTGGAGGTATGTAGTGGCTGGATGGGAACAGGTACAGCAGTTGGGAGTTGGAAGTTGATGTAGACGATTGCGATATCTTAGTTTGACTAGAGGCGACCACGAGTTTTTATATCATTTCTCCTCCTGAGTTGTCTCATCGAGCTATCCTGTCAGCTAGAGCGCTGTCCGAAACACGAGGCCGCGCAAGGCAACAGAGTTAGGCTCTACAGTTTTCTTGGTTGGTGTTTCATTGGGGATTTTCTCCGTAGAACCGACATTGCCTCCCGAGAACGTCGTCTGCCTTAGGTTCCGATATAGAAGAGAGGATGAAGTACCCTCAGCAAGGTGCAAGTGCTGAAGCCGCTACGGTCAATGATAACGAAACGACGGTGATTGATCGAAAGCTAGCCTTAACGCCGACATGGACTTGTGCCAGTTATCTACACAACTTCGATGCCGCCCCAATCCTCTATTTTCAAAAGGGGTACCCAAAAATTCATAGATCTATTTTTTCAGTCAATATGGTCAAGGGAGGATATTCGGACAAAGGAAAAAAAAGAATACAAATAAAAGATGAGTGGGTTGGAGACATTCTTAATTAAACAAACCGTTCGTTTGTCCAAAGAGAAGTCCTACCATCCCTTGTCCTTATAACTACCACCATTCACCACCCATTCTCACTCCCCTGCCTTGAGCCTGCAAGAAGGGAAATATACACAGGGCATCAGAAACACGACCAGTGACCCTCGAAAACAAGAAAAGAAAAAAAAAGATTGAAATAAAAGTTAGCAAAAATGAT